CACCCTGCCAAGACATAAATTACTTACACTTTGATAAATGGGTGGAAATCAGGGAATGTTCAAACAGATAAAGCACAGCAATTCCTCTTTTTTCTCCCTTTTTGAAACTCCATTTTGAGCTTGCAGTTAAATGTTTTTGCATTATTACTGTAATACGATGGGACCAACAGCAGCAGTGATAGCCATCGAAAGCCCCAGCAAATACAAAACTCACCAAGGGGATACAGCCATGTGTTTTGTCAGTGACATCTAACAATGCTGACTTGGACAGAGTGGTTTGCCAACAGGTTCAGAACCACCTCCAGTCTCTCCCAGCGTGTCCTTTTGCTGACTCATTCAGTAGGTTGGAATCAAAGATCCACAAACACATTCTGTTGGCAAAGAGAGCTCACCTGTGCCTGGGATCTGGCTATGACTCAGATGCCAGTGAGACTGGAAATATGAGGAAACGATTGATTGATGTTCTGGGGTTGAGAAAGGTGTTTTCTACTCGGTCACTAATTTATCATACGGCACTGAAAAAGCTGCTTGATTAACCATTAATCAGTTTCCAGGAGGCCCGAGAGTTCATACAACCCTTTGAAGACAGTTCTTGAAGAGGAAACATGGTGCTATCCACTGGACCATGCAAGAGCCATCAGTCATTCAATGCCTTTTGCCAGAGATCGGGCTCAGGAATTTCCATCCATTCTTTTATTTAGTCCTTACAATCAATCAGCAAGGAAGATATAGGTGAGAAAATGGGCTCACCGTCAAACCCTCAAGTGAGGGATGTGAGGTCATCAGGCACCGGATCCCTGTGCCTTTTCCACCATGTTGCTTCCATACTGGGCGTGTAGGGATGAGTGTGGAGCAGGGTTATAGCTCATCCAACCCCTAGTCATCCCTAATTAGGTCTTTGAGGTTAAGCATGAGCCTCGGGGACATAGATCATACAACCATCTTTGCAGACCTGCTCTAGGAGAGGGTACCCTCTCAGCAGTGATGCAGTCATCTTAACAAAACAGTCCAGGGGGAAGCCTGAACAAGTTAAACCAGAAGGAGAGTGAGTTGGGAGAAGAGGTATAATTGTCAGCTTTTTAGGACAATTAGCGAAATATTTACCCATTTAATTACACTGTTGTCATTACCTGATAACTTTTTGAGATTCAGGTTTAGATTTGGAAATCAGTATTCGTGATAACTGTCATGTATTTTAAAGTAATAAACAGGGAGGGGTGCCTGGGTGGCTCAGTTGGTTAAACGTCTGACTTCAGTTCCGGTCATGATCTCAGGGTTCTGGGATTGAACCCTGCCTTGGGCTCCCTGCTCAGCGGGGAGTCTGCTTGTTCCTCTGCCTCCTCCCCCTGCCATACTCTCTCTCTCAAATAAATAAATAAAATCTTTAAAAAAATAAAATAATAAACAGTTGAAGTTATACACAGCTTTTCTCAACTTGTTTAATATTGTTATCAAAGTAAGTTAGAAATGTGATGATCTAGGGCAAAGCAAAAAATTCAAATATATGTACATCTACTTTTTATCTAAAAATGTCTATTATCTAAAAAACTGGGGCCCCTGGGTGGCTCAGTCGGTTAAGCGTCTGCCTTGGGCTCAGGTCATGATCCAGGGTCCTGGGATCGAGCCCCACATCAGGCTCCCTGATCGGCTGGAAGCCTGCTTCTCCCTCTCCCACTCCCCCTGCTCGTGTTTCCTCTCTTACTGTCTGTCTCTGTCAAATAAATAAATAAAATCTTTAAAAATAATAATAATAAAAAAATAAAATAAATAAAATACTGTTAGTATTTTCCTTAGAGCAGGGACCAATTATAGGTCTGTGCTATTAGTTAAATTTTACTATTTTTTATATAAGCCTACCTTAAAATCAAGAGCTCCTTGAATGGGTTTGAGCAAGTAGAGTATTGTGTTAGAATATATTTTTTAGAAATCAAATTACATTTTAAATTCTCATATGGAAAATCTTTTCTGAAGAGTTGAAGAGCCTTTCTAAAAGCAAATAATTGCATCTAAGTTACCTGTTTGATAAAATTAGTTTTTCTTTTTTTTTAAACTTTAATTTCTTAGGGTTAGTCACGTATGTTTGGGTCAAATTTTTACGACATAAATTACTACAAAGAAAGTCTTCATATTTTTTTTAACACTCAGTAAATGATCATTTAGTATTATTATTCTTGTTTTTGTTATTATCATTGAGTAATCTCAGAACCAGCCCAGCAGAAGTCCCAGAGATAAGAGGATTTCTAACATGTGTCTCATAATGGCATCTACAATGAGTAAAAGGCCAATACCAGTTAACTTGCAAACTTATTTGTCATTGGATGGTGGGTTCACTGTTGATAGGTTTTCAATAATGGGAAAGTAAGGAGAAAATCAGGCCAAGCACTAAATGAGGAAAAATGATCCAGTAGAAAAAATTCAGGAAAATATATAATGCAAAACAAACCTTTTGGGGTGAGGGGAGATCATGTTACTGCTGGGAACAAAGAATGTTCTCATACTTCTGAGCAAAAAAATATTTTTTGAATGGAAAATAGGTCTTAGTCCTGTAATAAAGTATTGATCGGCAGCACTGTGTATAAGGGTAAGATCTGAGGTTTTTTAAAAAAACAATTTAGAAGGGGAAAATGCAGGAGTGGAAGGAAGGCAAGAGTGAGGAAAGAAGTTTGCAGGTTGTACCAAGTCGGGGAGTGGAGATCAGGAAGTAAAGTTCTTGTGGACGAGCTTTTCAGCAAGTGGAAGGTATGTCTGTCAGCATGGACCAAGCAAGGCACATCTCATGCAATACTGGAAATGGATGGAAAATAGATAGCAGACTCTGGGCAACAAGAAACACAACCACAGAAAAGAGAAATTGGACCTTGATCAGCAAGGGGTTTCTTATCTGCCCGTGTGTCCTTGGACGTCTTGCTGGGGAGAGACTGGCCATGTCAGTTGAACCAGACTTCATCAGTCAGTTCTCAGGAAACTCAAGTCATAATTGAAGCCAACACTGAACCCCATGGGCTAGTACCAAAGGATTTGAATGAGATTTGCACATCGTAATTAAGAGTATTCAAAATCAGGGGTGTCTGGGTGGCTCCGTCGGTTAAGTGTCTGCCTTCAGCTTGGGTTATGATAGGGATCAAGCCCCACCTCAGGCCCGCTGCTTGGCAGGGAGTCTGCTTCTCTTCCCTCTGCCCCTCCCCCGCCATGCTGTCTCTCTTTCTCTCTCTCAAATAAATAAATAAAATCTTAAAAAACAAAACAAAACAAAAAAAAGAGTATTCAAAATCAGAAAGCTAGTTACAGTGTCAGAAATACCCAGAATATTTTGAGCCAGAAATCCAGAGTAAGGATTCTTCTTTTCCCGGTGAATATACTCACCTTTCAACATCAGCAGAAGAAAGAGGTATCGACTCAGGATACCTAAACCCCTAAGAAGGTGGATACAGATTTAGGTTCTCAAAATAGTAAGACTGTGCATCATTTCAATTTGCCCTTCTGCCAAATCTTAGTAATTTAAGGGAAAAAAATTTTAAAAAATACTAGACATTAAGAAGAGCCTTCAGGAAATTAATCAGAGGCAAATATATATTATGTACCCCACCCCACCCCACCTCCCCACCCAAAGTACACAAAAAGAAAAAACCCACACATACATTGAAGTCCTTGGTTTCTGACTCTAATGTGATCTTGGGGACGAGGTATAGGTGAAAACAGTTTTCACAAAGCTCTATTAGAACTTAAACTTCTAAACTTTCATGAATCTATAGAAGATAACCTCATGTTATTAAGCTCTACCATATGTTCGAGTGCAATATTTATAATCCAAGCTGTGTCTTCTTTTTTTTCTCAAAAAGTGGATTGAAAGCAATAATTTTTGTAATAATCTGAGACAAGTTTTACCAGGTGCTTTGCCAAGTTTAGAAGGGTTGGGGAAACAGTTCATAAATACAGCTTCACTTCTCTCTCATCCTTTTCATCATGCTGACAGTTTTCTGGAGAATCATTACCAGAGTGGTTTGTGCCATTAGAGATAAGAGGCTATCTGAGTTTCCACTAGAAACCTCTATTTTCCAGACTTTATAACTCATCCATAAATATTCACTCCAGGCAACAGTTTCATATATAATGATTCTGTCCCTCAAAATCAATATTGGCTTAACTAAATGATTTTTAGAAGTTATGAGGACTCTTACACTACAGAAAGAATAAAAAGAAACATCAGATGCAGATAAAGTACTATGTTTCAGTGGGTGTGATCCAAACCACATTCTGTGGAATCCATAAAACATTTGCATTCTTTCTTAGCAATTCTTTCAGTGTATATAATTCCATTGTAATAAAATTTATTGGATAATCTACAGTCTGTTATTAATTCAAAATAGACATTTCCAATTTGTTTCTGTTTCTGTAAGGACCACAAAATTTGAAATTATGTTTTTTCAACTAAAACTTTTGTAGAACTTTCTATTACTATTCACGTTCCTTTTTTTTGTTACAGAGTTTGAGATGGAGTTATATCAAAAGCCATGAAATCATTTGACATAAGCCTTTGAATATAATAATACTCTTAATATTTCCAAGTATACTTAAGAGACTTATCAGTATTTTACATTCAGATGGTTTCTAGCTTCTTGGTAGAAACCTTCAGCATTCTGGAGTTGTCTTCTACCTGAAAGAGAAGATCTCACAAATTGAATGTTTTTATCAAATGAGATACCAAAATATATTACTTCCTCCAATCTGGAATGATAGTATTGTAAAGATTAGGAAACAGGGACTAAAACCACATCAACCCATTACAATGCAATACTTTCTTCCTAATTTGAAATTTGTACTCATGATTTTACACTGCTTGAATAGATGCTCATCTTGTTACACTGTTGAAACCATGTGTGTGAAATGCTTGTTTATCAAGAATTGAAGTAATACTGCAAGGACTTCTCCTGTGCTTTGGCTTTAATATGTGTGCCCAAAGCCTAAACTCAAGTTTATTTTTCTTTCTTCTTTTCAAACAGCTATTTTGTGACAGTAAGAAGGTGGTGCATGCCACAGAGGGGCTGGACTGGGAAGACAAAGATGCTCCTGGGACATTGGTCGGAAACGTGGTGCACTCAAGGATCATCAATCCTCTGCGCCTGTTTGTCAAACAGTCTCCAGTCCCAAAGCCTGGACACTTGGCGTATACGGACAGCATGGAAAACTTTTGGGATTGGCTGGCCAATGTCACGGAGGTTCAGGAGCCATTGGCAAGAACTAAACGGAGGCCAATAGTAAAGACGGGAAAATTTAAGAAGATGTTTGGGTGGGGTGACTTCCATTCCAATATTAAAACTGTTAAACTCAACCTCCTCATCACAGGGAAAATTGTTGACCATGGAAATGGAACCTTCAGTGTTTATTTCCGACATAATTCCACAGGCCTAGGCAATGTTTCAGTGAGTTTGGTACCCCCCTCCAAAGTAGTGGAATTTGAAGTTTCCCCACAGTCTACCTTGGAGACCAAGGAATCCAAATCTTTCAATTGTCGCATTGAATATGAAAAAACAGATCGGGCGAAGAAGACTGCCCTGTGCAACTTTGACCCATCGAAGATCTGCTACCAGGAGCAGACCCAGAGCCATGTGTCTTGGTTGTGCTCCAAACCCTTCAAGGTCATTTGCATTTACATTGCCTTTTATAGTGTTGATTATAAACTTGTGCAAAAAGTCTGTCCTGACTACAATTACCATAGTGAGACTCCATACTTATCTTCTGGCTGAATCGTTCCACAGTGATATAAATGAGAGGTGAATATATATTTAATTAGAATGACCAAGAACCAAGCCCAACTCTTCATGGTAAAGGATCCCTTTTGTTTCTGGCAGTGAAACTTAGTTCCCTATTAGGTTTTCAAATTGAAAAAAAAAAGAAAAGAAAAGAAAGAAAAAGAGAAAGAAACACCTTTAAATGTGAAATGTGTTTGTTTCGGTCGTACCTTAATCCAAAAAGTCAAACTGTGTGTGAAGCCATCGCTTTCATGTAGGATGGCTAAGTCCTAGAAATACTGTTGTTTCTCTAAAAGCAACATCAATGGTAGCAACATGTAATGAGAAAGAACCAAATTATGCATGTGATAAACATTGCTCTTGAAATGAGCCTGCCTTTGAAATATGTTTTGGAAGGTTACCTTAAAAATAGCAGATTCAGTGAACTGAAAAGATTGCATTTGATAGATGAATCACATTTCTGCCATCAAATTCTTTTTTTATCACTGTTTCTCCCCCCCACATCTGTGCTGTTATTGATATGAGAGATGAAGGGGTAAATTTGTTTCAAAACTCATGTGTGCAGTTACAGTGCCACAGTCGAACTAAACACATTGTTATCCGAGTGAGGCTGGGGTGTGACTCAGACACTTAGCCCTGTGTTGGTCGCCATCTTTAGGATTCTCATCCGAGTAGTAATATTGGCCCATTGGGAAAGCGAATCTGGATATATTTTAAGTCAGTCCCACAATCATGAAGATCATGATGTTTTAGATTCTTTTGCCAAATTCAATGCTGTGAGATTGCCAAAAATACCGTAAAATCTGTATTCTACACTATAACCTGTAACCTCATTCTATTCATTTGATAGTGTGAGTTTATATACATGCATAGAACAACTCTGAAATTGAGAGAAAGTGATTGTTCCCTAGGCAAGGACAGGGGAAAAAAAATGGAAGTGGGCTGACAAAATTCCAGGATTATGGTTTCATTATTTCTAGCCTCCCAGATTAAGTCCTCTTTGCGTTTAGTTAATTATTTGAGGGATCAAATTCTATGTGGAAATAAAGAGTATATTTAAACATGACTGATTATTAAGTGCTAACAACCAAGATACCTGACTCACCAGGCTTTTGAAATCACTTCCAAATTAATGTGGCTTCACAGTTGGAGTCCTTGCCATCTTTTCTGGAGGGGGGTGGAGGGGTGAACAGGCATCCTGTGACGTAGACCTGGATGATCTTTGCATCAGCACAGAAAGAGGGTCTGGCTGGCTAGTAATAAGGTGTCTAGAACTCATAAGACTCAAGGAATGGTTGTTATTACAGTAGGTGTTCACTTTTGCCCCTTTATCTGTAAAATATCTGTTGAAGTAAAATATTAAACTAAAAGAAAACCAGTCTAACCAACAAAAATGCTCTTACTATATTGTTTGAAGAGCCAACAGCTCTGTTCTCTATTTTGCATCTCCATTCCTTTCTGTTTACTGGTGATCTCTGTACAGTGTTTGATTTTGTTTTTTGTAAAAAATGTACTAGGCTTAGTGTGTGGTAGTACAGGCTTGCAACTTTTGCTCTGAGTTCATCAGGTGCTTTTGTAATTTTGTGGTTGGTGTGAAATATTTTAAGGCATCTTTTTATTTTCATCTAGAAACAGGATTAAAATACTATTTATTGTAAAATATGTGGGAACCATATATGTATATATACTTGGAATTTTCTGTGTACAGAGAAAGTATGTGTACACATTTCTATGTAAATAAAAAGAATTTGCTAAATCTGTCACATGACTTCAGGGTGTTTTTTTTTTAAGACTCTTCTTGGTTTCATTCTCACAAGGGTTTTGTGTGTGTGTGTGTAAAACACCAAGTGAGCATTAAGATTTTCCTTATGTATGTATTAAACAAAGCACCTTGGCTATGAAGATGTTAATGTAGAGTAAAAGGATAATTCATATAAAGTACTTGACATATAGCCTGGCACCTGGTGAGAACTCTACAAGTGTGAGCTTCTATTATGATTGATATTAATTAATATTATTATTACAACATGAAATATGATTAAGAACTCTCTGATGTTCAAATGTTGAGTGATATAAACATATCCATGCAAAGGGCAAAAATGGAGATCACCATTTACACAATTCTTAGATTTTAGCAGGGTTTGTGGAATTTAAAAAAAAAAAGAAAGAAAGAAAGTTTCCCTAGGCATATTTTTTAATTGGAGTAGAACATATGCCACATACATTTTTAAGTCATAATTTCATTTCAAAGACTACATAATTGTCAGTAATGGTACTTGGCACAATATAAATCAGATCCCATTTAAACATGCAAATGCATACATTTCTACAAAACCATTTTTGCCTTTGAATATTGCAGTTGAGGGAAAGGACATTCATGTAAGCTAACTTTACACTCAATTACAAAGTCTTCAAAAGTTAAAGAATAGACGCTTTTAAAAATGAAAATTTAATCATTGTCACCTGAAACTACCATAATGTTACATGTCAGTTATACTTCAATAAAAAAATTTTTAAGTTAAAAAAAAAAAACAGCAGAAATTTAATCTTCAGGGAGATGTTGGGCATCTTTCCAGGGGCTCTTCAGGCTTGCTGCTTACTAGAAAGCAAACTAGTTTGAAGACCTTTTCACCCTCAGCAGAAACAATCTTTTTACTCACCACACTGAATCAGGAAAGAGACCATATTTCCATGACTAAGAACAATGTGATCACACCAGCCACAGACTCTGTAAGATCTGTGGAAGGGAAATGAGAGAAAGAGCCTGTAGACAGCATGCAGCAAAGCAGCAATCAGTAAAAAGGGAACAATTTTCTTACTGCTTGGTACTTGGAATTGCGATGCATTCTCATGATTAGAATAACAGCGACAAAGGATGTAGTTCTCTGATACGACCACCCATAAGAGTACCTGATACATATTGCATGATAGTCTTTAATCTTCACTCTGCAACACCTTTCTTCTTTACTTTACATGACTCAGATGCTACGTGCTACATTTTAGGCATGATTGCTACATTTTAAACATTCCACAATCTGGCTAATTCTGTCTTCATTCAAGACATAGTTCTGCTGGGTTGGAGCTGCAGTAACAGCTCCCAGAGCGAGCCCTGCTATTAAGAGTGCGGTGGGCAGATCCACAGTGTGACCTCTAAGCTTGTTAGAAATGCAGAATCTCAGGTCCTAGCCCCCGACACACTGAATTAGGAGTTTTCCTTTTTAACAAGATCTGCATGTGACCTGTATACACATTTAACAACTAAGAGAAGTATTTCCCTAGAAAGTCTGATTTAGTGAATGTGCTACAGGGATTATATACTTTTTATAGAAAACCTATATCTTTTTTTTAACCTTTAAATTTTTTTTTAAGTATAGTTGACACACAATGTTACATTAGTTTCAGATGTACAACATAGTGATTCAACTTCTCTATACATTATGTTATGCTCACCATGAGTGTAGCTACCATCTGTCACCATGCAATGCTATTATAATATCATTGACTACAGGAATCTACATCTTTTTTTTTTTAAGATTTTTTTTTTTTGTTTATTTGAGAGGGAGAGAGAGAATGAGCAGGGGGAAGGGGAGAGGGAGAGGAGAAGCAGACTTCCCGCCGAGCAGGGAGCCTGATGTGGGGCTCGATCCCAGAACCCTGGGATCATGACCTGAGCCGAAGGCAGACGCTTAACTGACTGAGCCACCCAGGTTCCCAGGAATCTACATCTTAATAAGCATCCTAGGTTATGCTGGTTCAAGTAAGCTTCTGAAAATACTTCCCAAAAAATAAATGAATAAATAAAGGAACAGACCCTTTTAACAACAAAAATTAAAGTAATAGATTGATAAATAAAAAGTGATCAACCTAATATTAAGATATAGAGGAGTAATATTTCAAAGAGAGTGCAACCTGCCTATCTTCTAGTTCAGCTCCCTCATTTGGCAGACAAGTAGACCGAGGCACCATCATAGTAAAGAATATGCCCAGTAGTAAGTGGCAGACCCAACTGAAATGAGGGTCTCCTGACTCCTAATCTGAGGTTTTGTGTTACATAAAAAAAAGTAATTGAAACTGATATTCAAGACAAAACGAAAATAACTGCAGTGAATGTATAACAAGACACGATGCAGAAGGCAAATGAAATGCTGTCCCTCCAAAACCGTCAGGCTTATAATTTCCCTACAAACATAAAATTTTTAAAAACTAACCACTATAGAAAAATAAAGTCAGGATAGAGTGATTATATCCAAAGATAAGAGTCCTAGGATATATTAGAGGTATGACTGGCTAAGAATTAACAGCAGTAAAATGCCACATTTGGCAGAATTTTCCAGTAATTATAACACCTGAAAATATATTTTCATAGAGCTAGGTAAATTGTGTGAAATACTTTAATTGCCTGAAGGTCCAATTTTACCTTATAAAGAATCTTAAATTAATTGGTCTATAAAATAGAGAATGGAGTCATGCATTTTTAGTTGCAGTAAAAACAGTTAACCCCAGTTTAATTAATCAGAACTTTCAATGAATGGAAATGTAATATGTGCAATTTTAAGAGACAAATCATAGGGCAACAAGGTCTCATTAGAGATGTGTTTCTTCACAAAAATCTTACAGAAGATAAAGGGTCTTTTTATATTTACCTTCATCTCCTACCCCATATGGTAAGGTCCGGAATCCTAGGCATGTAACCTCTTCCGCTTCATTTTTTTTTTTAAGATTTTATTTATTTATTTGACAGAGAGACACAGCGAGAGAGGGAACACAAGCAGGGGGAGTGAGAGAGGGAGAAGCAGGCCTCTCACAGAGCAGGGAGCCTGATGCGGGGCTCGATCCCAGGACCCTGGGACCATGACCTGAGCTGAAGGCAGATGCCCAGCGACTGAGCCACCCAGGCGCCCCATCTTCTGCTTCATTTTTAATCTTCCCCTTTCTTCATCCAGCTCAGCTCCTTCATAATTAGTATGTAATCTATTCTCAAAAAGACTGAATTAACTCTTTTGTGTCCTCCACAGCACCTAGCTGGTAAAAGTGGTTACTTGATCAATATCTGTCACTTGATTTTTTAAAAAAATTTCGAGCACAATATGAGGATTAGTCAAGACCCACTCTACCCACATAACGTAAGAGT